ATTCTTCAGGTGACTGCTGAGACATCACTGCCTCAGGCTAGGTTAGAGCCCCTGTTGTATTGCTCTTAAGAGTGTGCTATGATTTTTCTTCGCAGCACTTGTCAAAATTTGTCATTAACTCTGAGTTTTTTTCTTTAATGTCATCTCCACCCCAACAGACTGCAAGCTCTCTGAGAGAAGGACTCATGTCTCTGTAAGCTTAGCACTCAGCAGAGTTCTTGGCACATGGGGAAAATTCAATAACTATTTGTTCAAAAACTGAAAAGGAGTCATTAAGGACAGGACCTTAGGAAATGTCTCCATTTGTTGAATGAGCTCAGGAAGAGGCGTGTTAGAAGAGCAGCAGCGGCAGGGATGGAAGCTGGAAAGCTGGACTTGCTGAAGCTGAGGAGGGAGGGCCTCGCCCTGCCTGGTGAGCAGGAGGGGCAGCGGCCCTGGTGGGGCTGCAGCGAGGAGCCCAGTCCTTCCATATGGCGGCTAGATGACGAGTGGAGGGGACTTCGCCTAGTTCCATTTCTTAGCGAATTTTTCATTTGAGTAATTCCTTTCCATGTCATGCACAGACTGATTTCCATGTGATAAGAGTAATTTTTATATTCGTGCTTATAGGATGTAGAATGTATTTTTAAAACTTTCAATTAGAGATGTTAGGATTCCATCTGACAAGAAATGAGGCTGTGGGAGAAAGCACTTCAGAAGCCAACATTCTAGACAAATGGTCTGTAAGTACTATCCTTTTTCAAAAAGAAAATCCAACTACCCAGCTTCACCTCTTCAGAGCAAAAATCTTTCAACATGAGCACTTTCTCCAAACTTTGGCCATAGGCACCTACTCTTTACGTTTTAATATGCAGACAACAGCTAGGCCTTTCTGGCCTCTGTTGAATTTCAAGAGTTAAGCAACAGAACTGAGCTCGTGTGGTTATCTTTCTTTCAGAAAAGTTCGTTAGCTAATGATTTGTAATGTTAAACTGTAGCGGAAGTTTTGATACTTCTCAAGCTGGTCAGCTTGGCTTCATGTACAGTGGTGCCTTGGTTTTCTAATGTACTCTGTTCCGGAGACCGTCCGAGTTCTGAAACATTGGAAAACTGAGGGGTCCACAGCCCACAGCTGGGCCTCAGGACCTTGCCCTCAGCCATGGGGCATGTTCGACTTCCAAGGCGGGTTCAAAAACCGAAGCATTTCCTCCCGGGTTTACGGCGTTCCTAAACCGAAATGTTCGTTCACGGAGACGTTAGAAAACTGAGTTCCCACTGTACTTGGACAGTGTCAGTTATTCTGTGAACTGTTTTAGGAGACAGAAAATGAACAGGAAGGAGAAAAAAATTATATAAACCTGCTACGGCCACAAAAGCCACACATTTTTATAAGTTTTCCAGGCTGGTGAGGACAGACTTCACGTGTAACACGGGTATCAAGTGCCTGCTTCCTCTGTGCACATACCTGTATGTCCATATACATTTTAAAGTAAACTGAAGGTAGTTATTTTTTACAAAATGTAAGAAAGGTCACAGATTTGTTATTTTGGAAAAATTGATAAAACTATGGTTAAAGGGCAGAATTTATAGTAAAATGTTGAAAGTTTGTTCAGTCTTCCTTGGATCGTCTGAGAGTTGGCTTGGCAGCCTGCGCAGCTACGGAATAGTCCTATTTGCTGAGTAAGCGGATGCCTGAATTGTTGCTAATGTTCTCCGGTCCTGGGGTAGTTACAGTTCTCACACCGGAGAAATGAGAAAACTGTTGGCTGCCCCAAGCTGCATATTTGTGTACAAAGGAAAGAAGGGGGAATCCTATCTCTTCTTCCTCAGGGAGACACAGTGAAGAAACATGAATAAATAAAATGAACTCCCTGTGCTATTCAGAGTCATTCAACCAGTCCATTAACATCGGGTTTTAAGCCTACGATTATTAGCTTTACTTTATAGAAATTCATTAACCTAAAGTTCACACGTATAATCCTCAGTACACTCAAGAACACATGAGCTACTTTATGGGAACTATTTTTATATTCTGAGAGGCAGTAGAGCCCAGAGGGTTGACTCCCAGCTCTACCACCTACTGACCTTGCGCAGTTAACTTGACTTCTGTGCCTCGGTTTCCTCATCTGCCAATTAGATAATACCGTATCTCTCAGGTCGTGAGAATTAAAGTCATATACGTAAAATAGACCAGTGCCTGCCCTTTGAAAGCCCTTTGCCATTATCTGCAGGGGGCTGGAGATTCCCCCCGAAGGCCACGGGCAGAATGACAAAATCAGATTTTGATTGCAGAAGTTATCACTATGGAGATGGCGTTGGCAAGGCTATAGCTGAGGGGGAGGAGGGATTAATTTCAGCAAAACTCGAGTCAAGGAAACGAGGCAGCTGCCGTAACCCAGGCAAGAAGTGACCAGGCTTGAGCTACATGGCAAGAGGTAGAGGGATGAAGAGAAGTGAAAACCACTGAGGAGATCCTAAGTGCGGTCCCCAGACCTAGTCCACGATTCGCCTGTGGGACTTGAGGAGAGGATCACCCAGCGCTCCCAGGTCCCAGGCTCGGTCCCTTCCTCTGAGGCAGGTGCAGAAAGAGGGCGAGCTCTGAGCTCTGCACCTGCGCACTGCTCCTCCAGGAGAGGCGCGGGAAGCGGCCGTCAGCTGGGCCGGGCAGAGAGCAGCTGAAGCTCCTACCCCTTCTCCATAAGCAGGCAGTCGCTCTGCTCCCCTCCCGACTGCAGCGCCTCATCCGACGCGGCCGGGAGCCTGAGGAATCCTCGTGAAGGCGGCAACCTGGAGGTGAGCCGCCGAGTTCCCCGCAGATGGCTAACGTTTCCAAGGTGGGACCGCTCTCCCCCACGAGTCCCTGGGGCCGCGTTCCCCGTCACACATTGCAGAGCTGCCACCGCTGAGCCCTTCCTGTGGCTCCTGGGGACTTAATTTCCCCAGGGAGCTATTGTGCTCGTTCAACTTTAAGACCTTGTAGGAAGAATCCCAGTTATTTCTCTCTAGGGCCTTACTCAGAGCAAGCAACACGGAAGTAAAGAGTCACTAAGGAGGAAAGGAGAAATAATCAAGCTTTTAGCCAAATGTGTAACAATTCATGTTAAAAACAAAAACCCACTGGCCAAATTATTACAAAAATTGTAAATGAGGGCAGTAGTGCTACCGTGTTGTGGTCGTGCTCATCCCATCTAGGTGACAATGCACAGCCCACATGGGTTTTGCCGTCTGTCCCCAACACAAAGCAGCTGCATGTCACGGATGGGAATGTCTGCGTGGCGACTGAATCTGCTTCAGGCAGGGAGAGCACCAAGCTGGAAACCAACTGGGGCCGAGGCCCGGCCCGATGTGACCGCGGACGTGTCTTTGTAGAATGCAGATATCTAAGAATGTGTAATAAAACTGTGCTCTCAAGGCTTATTATAAAACAACCTTCCTGTCATTCAGGGACAGCATCTTTTTTGCCTCAGAATGCTCATCAGTCGACAATATGTTGGAGAAATGTCTTGCTCCTACTCATAAAAATAGCCTACCATCTACTCATTGCCTTTCCAGCCTGATGATACTGTATGAACTTGCCTGACGTAGCACAGAAACCCCAGTAACGCAGGAGGGTGTTACCCTCTTTTCACAGAAGGGAAAACTGAGGCTTATAAAGGTTAGGTGATTTGGCCAAGGTCATCTGACCAGGCTCTCTGACCCTAAAGTCTTAAGTTGCTTCGACAACTGGTTGTTTTCAGATCTAAAATTGTGTTCCGGAAAGAGCTCCATCCAGGTGGGGAAGTCAAAAATCAAACCCTGGTCACCTATCAGTGCCTCCACATCAGAGCTGAGCAGAGAGCAGCCGAGAAGGGTGAGCGCGTCCACCTCTTGCCCTGTTCCCTGCAGCCTGCATTTGTCATCTAAACCGGGACACAATCGCCACACGCTGAGATTCAGGACTGAGTCGTGTATATCTTTACACATTTAGCAAAAGCAGATTTCAAAAGACACGGAAAATGTACTGCAAAATGTACAGCATTTATTCACATACAGACAAAAAGGCACAAATTCTACTAAATAGTTCAACAAAAAAAATACAGCTGTCCTCAACTAGTTTTATAAATACTTTCCAAAAGGGGGTAGAAATAAATACAGGATTGGGCCATGTCATATAAAATAGTCATCTCTACATATACTTTGTTTAATTTCTGATTTTTAACTCTTCATGCACCTTTTTTTTTTTTCAATTTTAGCTGAATGGACACCAAGCTAGGCACATAGTGAAAAATCCTCTGTACAAGGTTACAAATGTAATGACAAGTTTGTCCATTTCAAAATAATTAAGATTTGTACACAACACATAGAACCCTTCATTTAGATTTTGTGTTTATAACCTAACAAATGACATTCCAGGCAACTTTACAAAAGTTTAACTAGCCTACATTTTGACGTAATACATTGATCATAAAGATATTTCTTGGTCAGGGTTGCACAAGGAAAGATAAAGCTTAAAAAAAAAAAAAAGAAAAGAGCAAATGGTACCACACTAAGAGTGCAAGTGGGTAGGTGGGTGGGTTGCTGCTGGTGGTGGCCTCATACAGAGCTCCCAGCAGGACAGGACACTGACCTACAAAGCTATCATTACACTGTGGGAGAAACCGTGCTCTAGCCATTTGCATTTCAAAGCGGAAATAAAAAGTGTGGGCTTTTTATTTTTGTGTGTTTTGTTTCCCTGTGGGGTTTTTTTTTGTTTTTTTGTTTTATGTTGTTTTTGATTTTTTTGGTTCAGCATAACTTGGAACGTTTGAAAGCTTTTCAACCTAAATGTGGGGGGGAAACAGGTAAGGCATTATTTTTGCACAAAACTAGCATTCCTAATAGTGCAAATGAATCTGGTACCTCTTAAAATGGTGGAGGTCATACGCTTGCTAGAATTTAGGTTTTCTTTCTATGGCTTGACAAATCCACATACTCTACTCTCACCCAGAGCTGTCACTGTAGTCAAAAGATAACTAGATAGAGTCCACCTTCTTCTGTACTCAGCAAAAGGTTTTTGCTCCTATGCAAAAAAGTCTGACTTTTAAATTAGTCTATGAGTGAATATACAACTTGGATTCATAAGAAACTCCTACTATCTGTAGCAACAACTTATCTGGACAACAGTCTTTCAAAATGAGCCCCATAGCTCAAAAATAGTCCATCTAAACCTGGGTCATCCTTTCCCCTCCCCTGAATTAGCTACTACAATGTATCCAAAAAGTTTAAGACTTAGTTTGAAAATGTCATACATACAATGGGGATGCATCCGATCTACTATTTGATCATCTGATAAAACTTGCATAGCAAGATGGAATTCAATAAGCCTTTTTTGTTGTTGACAATCCTCTGGAAGACTTGAAAGTTAACCACAGAACTCAAAGCATTATTCACTGAGTATCAGAATGTCCCTGCCACATGGAAACAGGTGTATAAATGAATCAGGAATCTGAACACCGACACTAACAAAGTAAGGGGGTAATTTAGGGGAAGCTGGGCCTGTTCCAAGTGCCCATGATTCTGAATCTCGTCGCTATTTAAACTTTCCTTTTCTCGATGCACAACTACATTGAATTCCAAAGAAAATTAACAGGACCTTAACACTATCCACTGTCTTAATACATATGCACTGCGGTGAGTGCGAAAACAGAACATTGTACTCAAATTTAATGCTGAATTTATTATTGCTGATAACTTATGAGTTATTGCCATTTGCAGTTAGAAAGTCCAAGTTACGAATCAGAGCCTAGAACCGACTCCAGAAAAACCTACTACACTTACATCTCTTTCCTGTAGAAACTTGGTCGATGGTGAGAGGTTATCGCAACTTATTGCCTTTCTATTGTTTTTAAAATATAGCCTATTTCGCGCTTTTTTTTTTCTCCTTTCTTTCTTTCCCTTTTTTCCTTGTTAAGGAATCTGTTCTGGTAGGAAGCCCGGACTCCCTGACATAGTCCCTGGTAACTGGCTCTGGGAAGTGTGAGCCCCCAGAGCCTGCAAGCTCATCGCCTGAACTTGAACGACCATTGTATTGTTGGAGGCCGGCCGGCCAGGTATTGCCAGTGGCCAGGGAAGTCGTCCCAAGCTGGCCCACCAGGCAGCGGTTAGGGAAGAGGAATGTCAAGAGGACTGGTGAACACGAGACCCCAGCTGCCCTTCCTCACAGACAGAACCTGCTGATGGCCTCACCCTACACCAGCCCTGCTATAGGCACATTCCAGGGCTTCAGGCAGGGGGCACGGAGCGACACGCACCCTAAATTCCAGCTGCAGCAGCTCCGCCCTGTCCCTTCAGATCTTCCCGGGATGATGACCTTTTAAAACTTCTCTCCTCCCCACCTGGTATGTTTACACATCAATTCCCTACAGAGTCCCTGAAGCTTCGGAGCTGCGGCCTACTTGCTGCAATGCAACAAAAACAGCCTGCGGGCCAACGTGTGAGCGTGATTTCAGAGCTACCACAGTCCCGGGAAGTAAGTGTTATGGGCTATGAGATGGTACGTGAGGGTTTCAAGGAGCGTTCCGTTCCGTACAGTCAGGTAACCAAGAGTTTGTGCTTTGGGAAGAAAGCAGCGAGCAGGAAAACCCACGGGGCTTCTGTAAGCCACGCCCTCTTTAAAAATGACTTCACTCTTAGTGTTTAATTCAGCTCCTAGTCTCAGCAGTGCTGTGTCGTACGGTTACAACCTACTCCTGTGTTTCCTTAACAAGTTGCGAATCACACACACTTCTCACGATTTGTAAATGACTCTGGGAAAAAAAAAA